GCACTGGGTGTTGTATGGAAACCAATTTGACAATAAATTTCATATATTGAAACAAAAAAGAAAAGAAAGCCTGTTTAATATGAGGTCAGTTAAGTATTCATTATATTTTCTCCTATAGTTTTAATTTCATTTTTAAATATATGTTTTAAATAATGTATTTTTTCTTGCTTTTCTTTAAAAAAATGTTGAATCAGTACATTGTACACTTGAAACTAATGTAACACTCTGTGTCAACTACACTCAAATAAAAAAAGTTAATTAAAGAAAGAAAAATAATTGTCCCAGCATCTATTATTAAATAATGCTCTCCCTACTGGCTTGTAATACCAATTACATGATATATTAAATTATTACATATAATTGAATCTATTTTTGTGTATTTTATTCTAAAATTCAGTTAACTTGGGGGCCAGCAAAATTTTAAATCTTATAAATTTTTTTTAATTGAGGCAAAAGTCAAATGACATAAAATTAACCATTTATAAGTGTAAACTTCAATGGCATTTACTACATTCAATGCTGTGCAGTCATCATCCCCATCTAGTGGTAAAACATTCTCTTCACCTCAGAAGAACAGCCTCTTATTTATTAAGCAATCTCCTGCCTTGCCCTTTCCCACCAGCCCCTGTCAGCAACCAGTGTGCTTCCCAAGTCTATGGGTTTACCTGTTATGGATATTTCATATAAATGGAATCATACAGTAGATCACTTTCTGTGTCTGGCTTCTTTAACTTAGCATGATGGTTTAGAAGTTTATCCGTGTTGCGGCATGTATCAAAACTTTTATTACTTTTGGTGGTTGAATAATATTCCATTGTATAGATATACCACACTTTATTTATATAGTAGTCCATTGAAAAATCTGAGGTTGTTTCCACCTTTTGGCTATTGTGAATACTGATGATATGAACATCTGCACACAATATATTGTTTGAATACCTGTCCTCTTGAAATCTTTTCTGTACATACCTCAGAGTGGAATTGCTGGGTTTTCTGATAATTCTAGGTTTAACTTTTTGAGGAACCACCAAAGCTGTTCTTTCAAAGTGGCTAAACCTTTTGACATTTCCATCAGCAATGTCTGAGATTTTCGATGTCGAATAAAAGTGGCAAGAGCAGGCATCCTTGTGTGGTTCCTGATCTTAGGTTGAAAATTTTCAGTCTTAAACATTAAGTATAATGTGAGTTGAGGGTTTTTCATAAATGTCCTCTATCATGTTTTCTGATCTGTTTTTTGAGTATTTCCATCATGAAAAGGTGCTGGATTTTGCCACATACTTTCCACATCAATTGAGATCTTCACATGGGTTTGCCCCCTTTATTACTGTGGATATATTACACATTGATTAGTTTTGTTATTTTGAACCACGCTTACACTACCTAGGGGAAATCCCACTTTATCATGACATATAATTCTATTATTATGTTGCTGGGTTCAGGTTGCTAGTATTTTGTGGAAGATTTTTGCATATCTATTCATGAAGTCATTGGTCTATATGCTGCCCTCATAGAATGGGTTGAAAAGTGTTCCATTCTCTTCCATTTTTTGAAAGAGTTAGAGAAGCGCTGGTATGAATTCTTCTTTCAATGCTTAGCAGAATTCATCAGTGAAGCCATTTCGTTCTGGGTTGGAATACTTTTGATTACTGGTTTAACTTATTTACTTGTTACAAATCTGTTTAGATTTTCCACTTCTTCTGAATCACTTTTGGTAGTCTATGTGTTCCTAGGAATGTGTCTTTTTCATCTTGGTTATCTAAATTTGTTGTTCATAGTATTACCAATTGTTCATAGTATCGTAGCCCCTTTTATTTATGTGAGGTCTGTAGCAATATCCTTGATTCTCATAAATCAAGTCTTTCTTTGTCAGTCTAATCAGAGGTTTGTGAATCTGGCTGATCCTTTCAAAGAAACAACTTTTTAGTGATAGTTTCTTATTTTTTATTCCTGACATCACTGCACTAATCTTTATTATTTCCTTTCTTTTGCTAGCTTTAGCACATTCATTCTTTCCTAGTTCTGTAAGATACAGAATTAGGTTATTGGATTCGGATCTTCATTTTTAACATTAGCACTTAAGGCTAGAAAGTGCCCTCTGAGCACTGCTTTTGCTGCATCTCACAGGTTTCGGTACTGTGTTTTCATTTTCATTCTATTCAGAGTATTTCCCAATTTCCTCTGTGATCACAGCCTTGAGTCACTGAGCTGTTTTGTTGTTGTTGTGGACCATACTGTTAAATATCTACATGTATACGGATTTCCTGGATTTTTCTGTTATTGATTTCTAGTTTCACTCCAAGTGGCCAGAAAGGACACTTTGTATGATTTCAGTCATTTTTTATTCTATAGAGATTTGTTACGTGGCCTAACACATGATCTATACTGAGTGGTGTTCAATAACATGAAAAGAATGTGTTTTCTACTGCTATTGGGTAGTACATACTATATAAACCTGTTAGGCCAACACTGTTCTAGTGCCGTGCAAGTCTGTATCATTACTGATTTCTTCTTTTTAGTTCTTTTAACCATTATTGAAAGTAGGGATACTAAATTCTCAAACTCTTACTACAGAACTGTATACTTCTCACTTTAATTCTGTCCATTTATACTTCAGGAATTTTGAGGTTATGTTTTGGGTATGTATATAATTTTTATCCCTTCTTCATGAAATGACTCTTTTATCAAGATGTCAATTATTCTTTGTCGTATAAGTTTTACATGGAAGTCTATTTTGTGCAATTAGTTTTAGCTACCCCCGCTCATTTGTTATTTTCATGGAATATGTTTTCCATTCTTTTACTTTCAACATACTATATCTCTGGATCTCGAGTTTCTTATACATAACGTATAATTGAATCATGTATATTTACCCATTCTACCACTCTCTATCTTTCAACATTTTAATCCATTTTCGTGAAAAGCAATTCCTGTTAAGAAAGGACTTGACTTCTTTGTCTGATATGTCACTTGCAAATATCTTTTCCCATTCCGTCAGTTGCCTTTCAGTTTTGTTGGTTGTTTCCTTTGCAGTGCAGAAGCTTTTTATCTTCATGAGGTCCCAATAGTTCATTTTTGCTTTTAATTCCCTTGCCTTTGGAGATGTGTCAAGTAAGAAATTGCTGCGGCTGAGATCAGAGAGGTCTTTTCCTGCTTTCTCCTCTAGGGTTTTGATGGTTTCCTGTCTCACATTCAGGTCCTTCATCCATTTTTTTTTTTATTTTTTTTTTCCAACGTTTTTTTTTTATTTATTTTTGGGACAGAGAGAGACAGAGCATGAACGGGGGAGGGGCAGAGAGAGAGAGGGAAACACAGAATCGGAAACAGGCTCCAGGCTCCGAGCCATCAGCCCAGAGCCCGACGTGGGGCTCGAACTCCCGTACCGCGAGATCGTGACCTGGCTGAAGTCGGACGCTCAACCGACTGCGCCACCCAGGCGCCCCTCCTTCATCCATTTTGAGTTTATTTTTGTGAATGGTGTAAGAAAGTGGTCTAGTTTTGTTCTTCTGCATGTTGCTGTCCAGTTCTCCCAGCACCATTTGTTAAAGAGACTGTCTTTTTTCCATTGGATATTCTTTCCTGCTTTGTCAAAGATTAGTTGACCATACATTTGTGGGTCCAATTCTGGAGTCTCTATTCTATTCCATTGGTCTATGTGTCTGTTTTTGTGCCAAAACCATGCTGTCTTTGTGATTACAGCTTTGTAGTAGAGGCTGAAGTTTGGGATTGTGATGCCTCCCACTTTGGTCTTCTTCCTCAATATTACTTTGGCTATTCGGGGTCTTTTGTGGTTCTACACAGAGAGGGAAGGAGGCAAACCATAAGAGACTCTTAGAAACTGAGAATAAACTGAGGGTTGATGGGGGGTGGGAGGGAGGGGAAAGTGGGTGATGGGCATTGAGGAGGGCACCTGTTGGGATGAGCACTGGGTGTTGTATGGAAACCAATTTGACAATAAATTTCGTAAAAAAAAAAAAAGAAAGAAAGGACTTACTTCTAAGGCACCTGGGTGGCTCAGTCATTTATGCATCAGACTTGATTTTGAACATTTTTTTTTAATGTTTATTTGCTTTTGAGAGAGAGACAGAGCATGAGTAGGGGAGGGACAGAGAGAGAGAGAGAGAGGACAGACAGACAGAATCTGAAGTTGGCTCCAGGCTCCGAGCTGTCAGCACAGAACCCGACACAGAGCTCGAACCCATAAACCATGAGATCATGACCTGAACTGACGTCAAACAGGCAAATCGACTGAGCCACCCAAGCACCCCATCAGACTCTAGATTTTGACTCAGGTCATGATCTTATGGTTCATGAGTTTAAGCCCTATATGGGGTTCTGCTCTGGCAGTGTGGTGCCTGCTTGGGATACTCTCTCTCTAAGTAAATAAAAAAAGAAAAAGAAAGGACCTACTATTTTTTGCCATTTTGCTATGTGTTTTCTATAATACTTAAATATTTTTCATTCTTTAATTTCTCCATAATTGCCTTATTTTGTGGTTAGTTGATTTTTTTCTAGTGTATTTAGTTTCTTTATTGGATTTATGTTGGTGTTTTTTTGTTTGGTTTGGTTTGGTTTTAGAATTTTTCTTAGTGGTTCACTGGAGATTACAATTAACATCTTAACTTCATAAAAATTAAGTTTGGATTAAAATCAATGTAGGTACAGTAGTATTAAAAAACCTCTGTTCCTTTGTAGTTATGCTCCCTGCCTTTGTGTTGTCATTTTTACAAATTACAGTTATACACTGTGTGCCTATACACACACATACACACACACACACACATTCACACACACACACACACACACACACACACACACACACACAAACACTTAAATTTGAAAGAGAGTGGGAGCAGGGGAGAGGGACAGAGGGAAAGAGAGAGAGAATCTTAAGCAGGCTCCATACTCAGTGTGGAGCTTAATGCAGGACATGATCCCAAGACCCTGGGATCAAGACCTGAGCTGAGATCAAGAGTCCGATGATCAACCGAATGAGCCACCCACATTCCCCTATGTGCCTATTAATATAGATTTATAATTTTATCCATTTATCTTAAAAATTATATAGGAAAATGAAAGAGATGCAAAATAAAAATGGCTTCATGTTGACTTTTATATCTATCTTTGTAGCTACCTCACTGTTCTTTACTTCTTCATATGGCTTCAAGTTACTGTCTAGTGTCCTTTGATTCCTGCCTAAAAGACTACCTTTAGGATTTCTGATAGAAAGTTCTGCTAGAGATGGAGCCCCTCAAATTTTTGTTTATTTGGAAATATCTTATTTTCTCCTTTATTTTTGAAGGACACTTTTGCAAGATTCATAATTCTTGTTTGGCAGTTTTATTTTTTCTTCCATCACTTTAAATGTATCATGCTCTTGGGGTGCCTGGGTGGCTCAGTCGGTTAAGCATCCGACTTCGGCTCAGGTCAGGATCTCACGGTTCGTGGGTTCGAGCCCCGCATCGGGCTCTGTGCTGACAGCTCGGAGCCTAGAGCCTGTTTCGGATTCTGTGTCTCTCTCTCTCTCTGCCCCTCCCCCACTTGCACTCTGTCTCTGTCTCAAAAATAAATAAACATTAAAAAAAATAAAAGAAATAAAATAAATAAATGTATCATGCTCTGGCCTCCATAATTTCTGATGAGAAACTGACTTATTTTTATTGAGGATCTCTTATTCATGATGAGTCACTTCTCTCATGCTATTTTCAAGATACTCTTTGTCCCAGGCTTTCAATGATTTGACCGTAATGTGTGGATCCCTGAGTTTATCCTGTTTAGAGTCCACCAAATTTAGTAAAAGTATACATTCATGTTTTTCCTAACTTGGGGATTTTTAGCCAAAATTCTTCAAATATTCTTTCTCCCCCTTTTCTCTTCCCTGTTACTCTTGCACTCTCATTATGCATATATTTGTATCTGTGGTAGTGTCCCTCACACCAGTTAGGCTCTGTTCATTTTACTTCATTCTTTTGTCTTTCTGCTTCTCAGCCTGAATAATTTCAATGGATCTATTTTCAAGTTCACTGATTCTTTCCTCTGACTGCTCAAATCTTGATGTTGATGAACATCTCTAATTTTTCATTTCAGTTATTGTACTTTTCAGCTCCACAATATCTACTTGGTTCTTTTTTACAATTTCTATTTCTTTATTGATAATCTTAATTTGTTGAGACATTAGTCTCCTGGTTTTAATTCTTTGTTCATAGTTTCCTTTATCTGTTTGAGAATATTTAAGATAGTTCATTTAGCTATTGTCCAATAAAATCCAATGTCTAAGCTTTCTCGGGGCCATTTTTTAAAACTTCTTTTCCCCCCTTGTTAATGGTACAAACTATCTTTTTTTTTTTTTTTTTTTTTTTTTTTTTTTGCTTTGCTTGCTTCATAGTTTTTATAGGAAACTGGACATTTTAAATAGTTTGATTTGAAATGTAAATAAGATAACCTTCCCTCTGTTGAGTTTGTTGTTGCTATTTGATGTGGGTTGTTGTTCTTTCTTCGTTTAGTAGTTCTTCGAAAAACATTTTGTAATATCTGTATTCTTTGTCATGTGTGGCCACTGAACTAGATGTTTCATTAGCTTACTGGTAAACTTATGTTTTGTCCAAATTATCTTAAATATCTTGAGTCAAAAAAGAAAAAGAAAAAGAAGATGAAAAAAGAAAAAGAAGAAAGGAAAAAAGAAAGTAAAAAGAAAAAGAAAAAAAATACTCTCCCAATCTTAGCAGACTGAATCTATGTATTCCTTCACTGTTTATCCAGGCTGTTTACAACTCTACCTTCAGTTATTGCCTGCACAGATCTTAAAGGTCAGCCAGAGATAAATGGTCAGGGTCTTCTTGGATCTTCCCTGAACATATGTCTGGCAATGGTCATATGCATGCACTTCTGGATGCTCCAGTATATATGACAGCTTTGAAGAACCCTATTTCCCCCATCTATCTCTTTTGCTGACCTCTTCTTCCCCAGGCAGTGTTCCCACTATTATTCACAGCCTCAGACAGTGGTTGTGAGTATATGCCTTTAAATGCTTCCAGTAAAGACTGCCTGTAAGCGGTTCCAGCTGAGTGATTGCTCCAAGTCAGGCAAAACAAAGACAAGTCTTTGTGCTGGTTCTTCAAGGAGTCATCAGACAGGTCAAAACGCTGAAACACAATTCTTTGAGAATAAGGTCCATATTGTTTGCTCTGACACTCGCAATCTACACCACAAGTACAGGCTGCTCTCTTCATGGCCACTACTGACCTGGGGACTAGAATGGCAAATGGGCAATTTAAAGTGCCACAGTGCTCTCTTAATGCAATGCAACAGACTCTTCATTAACTCTTCCCCTGGCTGTTGTTTTTGACTAAATTCAGATTTCTACAAAAGTCGATTCTGACCAATTTTTATCAGCATTTCTTTGTGGTTGGACAGAGCCCTGGAGGTCCCTATTCTGCCATTTGCAGTGACATCTGAATTCTTATGTTTTCAAAAATACATTGTAATATCAAATACAAAAAACTCTGCTTTTAACTTCCTGTTTCTTTTGAAATAAAACTCATCTGCAGCATATTAATCATTAAAATTTAAACATAAAAACAATTTAAAAAGAATGAATGGAGCTTACCATTCTTCAAGAGAAGTTTCAAACTGTCAAAATAAAAGATCTCAATAAAAATCAAATTTTACGCATTTCAAAAAATAACAGTAAACTAATACTTGAACTCACAGATAAAACTATAAGTGCTCCACTTCACATGTCCCATCATATGAGGTCAAACAAAACTCTGTTATTTCTAAACCAGGTATTCTACATCCACTACGTAGTCCTTTCATTATTACTGCCACCTAATTATTCTTACCTTTCATCTTCTAAATCTTACTCCTTCATCAAAGGCCAGTTCAATGCCACTTACTCCCAGAAGACTTTGCACATAATGAGAAGCGCATTATACCCATTGAGTTGTAATATATTACCAAAGAGTGGAAAACACATAACTATAGGTAAGTTCACAAATATCTCGTTTTCTATAGTGTCCCTCTTTTAGACTATAAACTCCAGGCTAGGAGTCATGCTCTACAGATATATTCTAAGAATATCTTGGGCTGTGACACAAATTACCAAAAACACAAGAGAGAGAATACATAGTCATAATTTTATGGGTTTCTTAGATAATCTCTAATTCCAGATGTTAGGTTGGGCATACATGATTACTTCTCTTCAATTCCCATGTTGTACAATATTTCTGGAGAAAAATATATATGTTTGCCAATAAAAGCACTGGAACATATACTTCAGAATAATTCCCAGAAATAGAAAGAAATCAGAAGGGACTGCTAGTGAAAACAGAGCAAAGAAAAATATAACTCAGAAGAGGAAAATGAAGACCATTTCAGGGGAGGTGAAAGCCTTCTCTGTGGAGCTCATGAAAAATTCCCAGCATGTGAGAAGAAGCATGTGAGAAGAAGCAGGTGATAATCAAAGTAAACAACTAAAGGCCAGCCTATGGTGAAGCAGACTAGTCTTATTGCTTTTTGTTCTGAGAACCCAGTATACATGGCTGAAAAGATTCCTTCTAGTCACTGACATGAGAAGAACTCGCTAGCCACACAAGATCTGCCTGAGATGGAGAGGCTGTCTAAGAATGGAAGTTGTGGTTCTAGGGACAAACAAAACGGAGCCCACATAACTAGCAGAATCTCACATAGAAACAAACAGATGGGTAAGGAAAAACAAAGGCTGATTCATCAATGAGTGAAAATACTCTAAAGTGCTACAACAAATTCAAACGCATGCTTATTTAAGTAAACAAAAAAAAGAGTCCCTCAACTTTCTTGCCTAAGCATATTACTTCCCATTTATAAGGAGCTCCAGTATAATTTTGTATATACTGGATAAAAGCCTTTGATGTAAGCCGACTTTGACAGCTGCTAAAAAGCAAACAAATGACAGCAATAGCAGCAAAAACAACAAGAAAAACCAGCAAAAAATGTATGCTCACAACAAGTAATCATTATTTATAAATACAGAAGAACAAAAAAAGACTATACAAATAATTAAGGAAATATTAGAGCAAAGCAAATAAGAAAATTTACTTAAGACATAACAGAAACACTGGATGAACAAAAGGGAATACAATAATAAATTCAAGGCATATGTATATTTCTCCACAATATTAAAAAAAATAGAAAGATGAAATCTAGTATAGGAATGTTGCTATCCAAGGGGTGCCTGGGTGGCTCAGTTGGTTGAGCATCTGACTTCAGGTCATAATCTCATGGTTTGTGAGTTTGAGCCCCATGTTGGGCTCTGTGCTGACAGTTCAGAGCCTAAAACCTGCTTCAGATTCTGTATCTCCCTCTGTCTCTGCCCCTCCCCTGCTTATGCCTGTCTCTCTCTCAAAAATAAACATAAAAAAAAAACGTTTTTAAGAAAAAGAATGTTGTTATCCAAATATGAAAAAGACTAAAATAAGTAATCATTTCATTACCTATATACATGAGAATTTAGTTTTTTATAAAATTTACATTTCAAATCAAGAGAGATGAACAAGTCAATAAATGATATTAGGATAATTTAAAAAATATTTGGAAGAGAAAAAGTATGTGTCTCATGCTATACCATAAGGTAATAAACTTCAGATCTGAAGAAGCCAAATGTAAAAAAAATAAGGTTAACTGAAATAATAAAACATTTTAATAATCTTGATATGAGGCAAATTTTGTTAAACAATACAAAATTTGTCAGATAATGGATTGGTTTTACATATAAATTTCTCTATGAAAGAGTACTGCAAATAAGTTAAAAATAGTACAAGCAGAAAAAAATTGTAACTAACATAAAAGAAAATAGATATTTATCAATACTTCTGCACATATGTAAAAAATAACAAAAAAACTGGGAAAACTATATGAACAGCAATTAACAGAAAATTAAATACAAATGGGCAGAAAGCTTAGGATGTTCTATTTATGTGTACTAAATGATCTATATATATTTAGCCATATCTATGTACATGTACATATAATTATATACACACAGATATATGTTAAATGAATACTGTATGTATATTAATATATTAAAGAACTAATAATTTAACATCAGGTTTTCAACAATTTGCCCACCTTCCTCATTATCTCCTACTTAATCCTCTCCTCTAAATTAGTTTCAGTATTTGCTAAACTGCTGAAATTTTCTTGTGCTAACAGTATAATAGATTTAATGGGATCTAAAAAAACTTCTGAAGAGACTAAATTCATCTACATAATAAAAAAAACTGATGAATGCAGTTGTTTGAAATCCCAATGGCTTTAGCATGTAATATGACAAGCTTATTCTGAAATCTATATGTACTAAGAACAGCCAAAGAAGTATAAGAAAGGAAAAAAGAGGGAACTACCATACCAAATATTAAAACATATTATGGAGGGGCAGGCGCCTGGGTGGCTCAGTCGGTTGAGCGGCCAACTTCAGCTCAGGTCATGATCTCGCGGTTTGTGAGTTCGAGCCCTGCGTCCGGCTCTGTGCTGATGGCTCAGAGCCTGGAGCCTGCTTCAGATTCTTTCTCCGTCTCTCGGCCCCTCCCCTACTCATGCTCTGTGTCTCACTGTCTCTCAATAATAAATACACGTTAAAAAAATTTTTTTAATATATTATGGGGATGTCTAGATGGCTCAGTAGGTTTAGCGTCCCACTCTTGATTTTGGCTCAGGTCATGATCTCACAATTGGTGAGATGGAGTCCCATCTGCTTGGGATTCTCTCTCTCCCTCTCTCTCTATCCCTTCCTACACACTCATGCACTCTCTTTCTCTCAAAATAAATAGACTTTAAAAAACCATATTATGAAGCATATTTAGTAAAATGAGGTACTATAATAGAGATAAAATTAACCAGTGGAATGATGGGAGTCAGAAATAGATATAATCATATATGAACACTTGATATGATAGATAGAATATGACTGATTTCTAAGAAATGACTGGATTTTGCAAAAAACTGATGTTGAGAAAAATAATTTTCTCTATTTTTACAAATGAAAATAACTACCTTTCCATTCTTTGTATCTGCACATACACAAAAACACAATTTCACGTTGTTTAACAATTAAATCTCAAGCAAAAAAACACCTTAAAATTTTAGAAGAAATAAAAGAAAAATTTTCATGACTGCACTATGGAGAGAGTTCTTAAACAATATGCAAAGCACTTAAAGGGAAAATGAAAGATGTAAGTGTATTAAAATTAAAAACTTATTTTAACTAAAAGATATCATAAAGTAAAAAGACAGGTCAAACTGAGAGAGTAAGTTTAAAACATATATAAAAAATTAAAGATAGCAACTTGTTCATACAGGTCAGTAAGAAAATCCAAATAAACCCAAAAGACAATGGCAAATGATAAATGTACAGAGAAGAGAATGAGCATTCAATGAGTGTATTATTAGACCTTAAACTAATCAATAATTAGGAAAATAATTATCCCTCAGTTTAACTGGTAACTCACAGTCCTGCATACTGCAGAAACCTACCAACAGGCTGATTTATATAATAGTCCTGAGAAACCATTTGAAGTATCACAAGAAAGTCAGAAAGAAATTGGTTAAGAGGCTCTTTAATAATTGTGACATAATTAACCAAAAATGTTAAATTCCTCAACAAGTATGCAATGCTTAATACTATGGGTTTAATCCTTTTTGTAGCACAACAGAACATGATGTATTTTATAATGATAAAGATAGGTTACCTACATTTTTCAAAATAGAGTTAAATTTGGTATAAACATTTTAGGATCATCTATCAAAACCTTGCCATAGCAACATTTTTGTAGACGTTAAGTGATGAAGCAATAAAGAAAAACTATTTTAATCAGTCTTTGATCCGATATGAGAAGGCAAAACTTGACATACCTAGTATTCAAATAACATTGATAACAATGGTTAACAAAGGGAAGGCCTACAATACCACAGAAAACTTTGGAGTTTTATATTCATAATTACTTATCTGAAATATTTATGAAAGTTTTAGAAACTGCTTGAAATTGCTAAATTATTTTTAATAAAATTCTGTTAAAATTAAGCTTAGAAGTTCACTTACTGCCATAAATGTTTTAGATATTTAGAAACACATTATAATTCGCAGTTAACCAATTTTACCCAACTAACCACAAAATTCCGTACATTTTTTTATTTCTTTCTCTTTCAAAAAGCAAGAGAAACAAAAGTGGGAGAGTACTAAAAATATCACATTGGACACACTTTTAAAAATTAACACATTACGGGGAAATCAAAAACTTTATTTGCCTTTAGCTCTAAACTACATTGCTCACAAACTTCTGCTTGATATGTGTAACATTCTAAATGACCTGGTTATTTAACTTCATACTTCTATTAAAAAGTATTCCCAAATGTTTTATATATTTAAATTATATTTATATATTTTATATTATATAAATTATATATATATTTATATTATATATTTATATATATTAAATATGTATATTTAAATATATATTAAAATGTATATTACATATGAAATAAATATAAATATAAATAAATACAAATTATAATTTATATATTTAAGTTAAATATATAAATTAAATTTATATATTTAAATTTAAATATTTAAATTGTCACATTTAAATGCTATTTAC